ATGTATCTACCTCGGACAATGGAAGATGGCCGCGCAATTTTGTGGGTTGCTTTAAGTTAGACATTAACACTGTTGAATGCCGGCTCAGTAGTTTAGCGGTTAAGCGTTCCCGGGTGAGACTGGAGGTCTTTGGTTCGAATCCAGCGCGCGATATTGTGGAAGTGCACTTCTGAGGAGTCCCGTACTAAGACGAAACGGCTATCCAGTGCTTCCACGTTTTCAATGATGGTCTGACATTGGTTGATTCATGATCTCAATCAAAAACGTAAAAATAATCCTGAAAAATGTAGATCTAATTTATTTATTTATTCTTGCACAGTCTATGAAGCAAATGTCATTGATGTTGTGAAAAAGTTTTTGTCTAACAAACCAATCTAGTTTACAGTAGAACGACATAATACTGTCATGTTTAATTAGAATCATTACTTAATTTCCTCTTTTTTACAATCTAACTAATACTTTATATATTTATGCTTGTGGAATTTTGATAAGTTTGTAAATTTTCTTAACGAGCAATCATAATTAATATGACCATTCGTATAATAATGATAATGAGTTTACAATTATTCTGATTCATGTTCCGTTAGGGGAATTATTTTCCCTTGGAATTATTTTATATTTTATATATGGGTTTCCTACAAAACCAAATAACTTTATAGGTCTTTTAATAACTTGGGACCCTATTATTGTCGAATCATGCATACAAATTTTGACGAAACTTCTTATATCTTGGATTTTGTAGTCAACAAAGAAGATAAAGAAATAAAAAGACTAACGACCTAAACTAATCTATACACAATAATTAGTTGTACGTTCAACATAATTTAGTCTGTTTTATAAAGTTTGTTAAATTTTCGGCGCTTAGGTGATTTCCTTTTATGTAGCCTCACTAGTTTAGAAAAGAAAAGTATTACGACTTTAGTTAGACAAATTATACTGAAACAATTCATATTATGAGACTACTATTATAAATAACTATATACCTGGAAGCACTGGACGGCCGTTTCATCCTGTTTTGGGACTCCTCAACAGTGCGTATCCACGATCCCGACTCAAAGCTAGGACCAATCGGTTTCGCGCGCGAGTACTTAACCTCTATACCACTGAGTCGGCATCCAACGGTGTTAATGTCTAACTTCAACCAATCCACGAATCTCACGGGGTAAAATCGTGGATGCACACTTCTGAGGAGTCCCATAATAGGATGAGATGGCCGCTCAGTGGTTCTAGGTTTCCCATGGTGGTCTAGCTTCAACGGGTTCATGATCTCAACTATTGAAATTACTATAATATTCACAAAAAGCCTTCTGATATAATTACATACCACTGAATATTATGAGAGCAAGTAAAATAACACTAATTTAAATTTCATTCTAAAATAAACTACTATCAGTTTGACCGTTGTATACAAATTGATGGAATAGCTTTTCCTTATTAAACTACATACGTTTTGTAATATATGATGTAATATATAATAATAACTTGGATAGATAAAAAAATGACTAGTTGAGTTAAGCTATGCTTGTTTAAATAACACTCAAACTACCAAAAACCGGATTGTCTGTTTTCTGATTTAGTGCCGGGACTAAGTCTGATACATACTTACTTACTTACTTACTTACGCCTGTTACTCCTCGTGAAGGAGCATAGGCCGCTCACCAGTATTCTCCATCCAACCCTGTCCTGGGCAATCCTTTCTAGCTCCGTCCAGTTGTAATTCATCGTTTTCATATCTGCTTCTATTATCCGACGCAATGTGTTCTTTGGCCTTCCTCTTTTTCGCTTCCCCTCAGGATTCCAAGTTAGGGCTTGCCTCGTGATGCAGTTTGACGATTTGCGTAATGTATGTCCTATCCATTTCCATCGTCTTTTCCTAATTTCCTCTTCAGCTGGAAGTTGCTTTGTTCTCTCCCACAGAAGGCTGTTGCTGATGGTATCCGGCCAATGGATGTTGAGTATCTTGCGAAGGCAGCTATTTATAAATACTTGTACTTTCTTGATTGTGGTTGTTGTAGTTCTCCAAGTTTCAGCTCCATACAGTAGAACTGCCTTGACGTTCGTATTGAAGATTCTCACTTTGATATTGGTTGAAAGTTGTTTTGAGTTCCATATGTTCTTCAATTGTAGGAATGCGACCCTTGCTTTACCGATCCTCGCCTTTACGTCTGCATCTGAGCCTCCTTGTTCATCGATGATGCTTCCCAGATATGTGAAGGATTCTACATCTTCCAGAGTTTCGCCATCAAGAGTGATTGGATTGCTGTTCTCCGCTTTGAATTTGAGGACCTTAGTTTTCCCTTTGTGTATGCTGAGGCCTACTGATGCAGAGACTGCTGCTACACTGGCTGTCTTCATCTGCATCTGTTCGTGTGTACGTGATAGGAGGGCTAGGTCATCTGCGAAGTCCAGATCGTCTAATTGATTCTGAGCTGTCCATTGTATTCCATGTTTTCCTTCAGATGTTGAGGTCTTCATAATCCAGTCGACCACCAGGAGAAAAAGGAAGGGAGAGAGTAAACAGCCTTGTCTGACTCCGGTCCTTACTTGGAATGCATCTGTCAGCTGTCCTCCATGCACTACCTTGCACTGTAGTCCGTCGTATGAGTTCCGGATTATATTGACAATCTTCTCAGGAATTCCGTAGTGTCGAAGAAGTTTCCATAACGTCCTCCTGTCTACACTGTCGAATGCCTTTTCATAATCAATGAAGTTGATGTATAATGATGAGTTCCACTCAACTGATTGTTCGACGATGATCCGTAGTGTTGCAATTTGGTCTGTGCACGACCGATCCTTACGGAATCCAGCTTGGGCGTCTACTGCATCCTTCATCCGGTTCAGCAACACTCTGTTGAAGACTTTCCCTGGTATTGACAGTAGTGTTATGCCTCTGTAGTTTTCACATTTGCTCAGATCTCCTTTCTTTGGAATCTTGACGAGGTGTCCTTCTTTCCAGTCCATTGGCACTTGTTCCTCCTCCCAAATCTTTTTGAATAGAGGGTAAAGCATGCTTGTGGTTGTTTCGATGTCTGATTTCAGTGCTTCAGCTGGTATGTTGTCGGGTCCTGCTGCTTTCCCGTTCTTGATTTGTCTGACGGCCATTCTAATTTCTTCCGTAGTTGGTGGATTGACATCTATAGGAAGATCTATGTGTGCTGCTTCGATGTCCGGTGGATTCATTGGAGCCGGCCTATTCAGGAGTTCCTCGAAGTATTCTACCCATCTGTTACGTTGTTGTTGAATTTCGGTGATTGGCTTGCCTTCTTTGTCTTTGACCGGCCTCTCTGGTTTACTGTATTTCCCTGATAGTTTCTTCGTTGTATCGTAAAGCTGTTTCATGTTTCCTTCTCTAGCAGCTTTTTCTGCCGTCGTTGCTAGTTCTTCAACGTATTTCTTCTTGTCGGCTCTAATGCTCCTCTTCACTTGTTTGTTTGCTTCTATGTATTCAGCTTGTGCTTGGACTTTCTCTGCTCGTGTTCGGCTGTTGTTTATTGCTGCCTTCTTGTTCTTCCTTTCTTTGATCTTGTCCACTGTTTCTGTAGAGATCCATTCCTTATGATGGTATTTCTTTAGACCGAGAACCTCTTGACACGTTGAAGTTAATGCTTCCTTGATGCCTTTCCAGTTGTCCTCCATAGTAGTTTCTTCTTCTTTCAGTAGATCTCGTAAGGCTTGGAACCTGTTGTTGAGAGCTATCTTGAATTCATTGAGTTTGACAGTATCTCGAAGGAAGGCTGTATTGAACCTTTGTATTGCTGTTTGTCCACTTGTCCAGTTCTTTTTTAGCTTCAGTTTCAAATTGGCTACAACTAGGTGGTGATCTGAAGCTACGTCAGCACCTCTCCTGGTTCTCACATCTTCCATTGTCCTTCGGAATTTTTTGTTGATGCAAATATGATCTATTTGGTTCTCTGTAGTGTGGTCCGGTGAGATCCATGTAGCCTTGTGTATACGCTTGTGTGGAAATATTGTGCCTCCTATGACCAATTTGTTGAATGCGCATAGATTTGCAAATCTTTCTCCATTTTCGTTTCTTTCTCCCAGTCCATGTCATCCCATAATATCTTCATATCCAGTGTTGTCTATTCCGACTTTGGCATTTAGATCTCCCATTAGAATGGTGAGGTCCTTTCTTGGGCATTTCTCTATCACTGACTGCAGCCGCTCGTAGAATTGATCTTTAATGTCGTCGTTGCTATCATTGGTGGGTGCATAACATTGGATAATATTCATTAAGATCCCCTCCTTCTTTGTTTTGAATGATGCTTTGATGATTCTGGATCCGTGAGATTCCCATCCTACAAGTGCATTTCGTTCTACTTTGGACAGCATAAGAGCAACTCCCTGAGTGTGTGGAGCATTGTCTTCTTCGTGACCGGAGTATAGCAGCATCTCTCCCGTAGCTAGCCTTTTCTGTCCAGCTTGGGTCCAGTGGGTTTCGCTGATTCCCAGTACTGCTAAGTCGTATCTCCTCATTTCCATTGATATTTGACTGGTCTTCCCGGTTTCCCATATTGTTCGAACGTTCCATGTACCTATAAAAATTTTTGCTCTGGTTGTTAGAAGGGGCATCGGCCTCGTGGCTTCCGAAGGAACTCGGCTTTCACCATGAAGCGTCATAATTCTTCTAAATGAAGACCTTCTAACTCTCAGGGCAGAGTTAAAATGGTTTGGATTATTTTTTCTGGTAAGCGTTTTTTTAGCGAGTTAGTTTTCTACGGGATGGGGACGCTAACCCCATGCCCAACCCTCCTCCTTTACCCGGGCTTGGGACCGGCAGCAACCCTATAAGAGCTACAGGCGGAGAAATATCTTTTTGAGGCAAATTTCGAGCTTTTTCATATCAAACTGTAAAACAAATAGTCATACTCACCTTCATCAACTTATTTCTCATCTATTCTAGCTAATTCATCATACATATGCTACATACTACTTTAAAATAGCTTATTCATAGCTTAGTTAACCTTAGTTTATTATTCACACGTCAAAAATAATTATGAATGGATTTAAATCCTAATGTTTTATCATTTAAGAAACATATTAGGTTACTTCGTTACAAAAAAAAGAAAACAATAATTCATTTAATTGAAACTATTACTAACTCCACAAAACCCCTCAGTGATTATAATAATTCATTCTTAGTTGTTGCTTTTAATCTCTTCCTATTCGGCAGTTCCCTTAGATTTCCAATAATTCATACTTACTCATCATCATCATCATCATCATCATCATCATCATCATCATCATCATCATCATCATCATCATCATCATCATCATCATCATCATCATCATCATCATCATCATCATCATCATCATCATCATCATCATCATCATCATCATCATCATCATCATCATCATCATCATCATCATCATCATCATCATCATCATCATCATCATCATCATCATCATCATCATCATCATCATCATCATCATCATCATCATCATCATCATCATCATCATCATCATCATCATCATCATCATCATCATCATCATCATCATCATCATCATCATCATCATCATCATCATCATCATCATCATCATCATCATCATCATCATCATCATCATCATCATCATCATCATCATCATCATCATCATCATCATCATCATCATCATCATCATCATCATCATCATCATCATCATCATCATCATCATCATCATCATCATCATCATCATCATCATCATCATCATCATCATCATCATCATCATCATCATCATCATCATCATCATCATCATCATCATCATCATCATCATCATCATCATCATCATCATCATCATCATCATCATCATCATCATATTCATTCACTAATTATACTAAACAGAAACATTTTCTAAATGTAAATTTATTTTAAACTAGAACAATAAACAAAACTTTTCTGTGAAAATTCCCTTGATAATGAGTTAATATCTTTGAAAATATAAAAAAACAAAACATTGTTTATCATTATTTAAATTATATGGTGAATTATTTTGCATACGATTAATTTATACTGTAGTTTTTGCTTTTGTTTTTTTGCGTGGGGGGCGGAATTTTCTATTTTCCTGTAATGATATTTATGGCTAAGCGCATAAGATAAATTTGTACCATTTATATCTAATCTTCATATTAAATATCATGGCAACAATTGTTTATACAATGTAATAATAACATAGTTACATTGAAAAATATACCCTATAATGAACAATAATTAACTATGTATTGCTTAGTTAACTTAACCCTGTTTATTAGTAGTTTAATTATTATAACCAAAGTATTCACTTAAGGAAACCGAAAAATAAGTAAGGACAAGTTGTCCTCATAACTTTATATCAGTAGAAAATGAATTCAGTTTTGATGCAAACTACTGATCTTGACCATTGAAACTTATTTCCTGAAGTTATTTAAAAACTTGGAATCTCTATAAAAACTACTATTGCATTTTATGTAACATATAACTATAAAGATGATTATAACGATACCTGTAACAGACCTATTCATCAATGCAGATTCTTTGATTTCAATGAAGACAGTTTCTTGTAATATTACAGAAATAATTGTAAATATTCACCTTTTCTTTACATTAGTGTCTAAAAAGAGTTAAAAATAATCAGGAGTAAATTTCGGTCGCTGTAATATAGGAACCTACTTTGTCAACAGTTAGAACCTTTAAACTTGATTGCATCAGTAAATAGATCATCGTCATTATGAATATTAGTATAACAACTAATAATTAATCTAGATTAAAATCACTTAAGCTGATTGTCTGAGAATGATGCTGAATTAAGTAACTTTAAATAAGGTGAATACAATTAGCTTGAGCAAAATGAGTTTCTTGAGTTATGGATTTGTTAACTTCTATTTCGACAAAGTTAATATCATTTAATGATGTAGTTTAAAGCGTAATTATTCTTGGAAGAACATTCCACCATTTATGAATGTCATTAGATATTTGTAAAATGAATGTTATTATTTAAGATTACATGAATTAGCTAATTAATAATCCATCGATGCGTATTACTCATAGTTGTATTCAGTTTGACTAATTACTCTATATTGCTATAAAGCATTAAAAAACTACGCAATAGTATGAATAACACTGATTAGAATGACATAGAATATCGGCCTAAGGGGAATAGATTTGACGTGCTCTATTGAAACCAGCTTCTTTATTTGTTGACAATTACCGAAAATTCATGGTATTTTCGGTACACTAGCGTCTAAAAATATAGTTCTGCTTTGATGACACCTTCTTAGGTAGCATGTTTTTGATACAACAAATGCTGAACCCCAATTCTAGTAAAGTACTTGCTAATCATAATAATTTTTGAAATTTAAACAGCGCTTCTGGTATACGAATTCATTTCATTGGAATTGTGAACTAATCTAAGTCAAACAACCACTGAAAACCTGAAAGCACCATATAGCCGTTTCATCTTAGTACGGGACTCCTTAAAAGTGCGCATCCACGACCCTGTACATGGAAATTTAACTCAGAACCTTCGGCATCGCAAGCACGTGCATAAGCTCAAAGCCACTAATTATAACATATTACACAAGATCTTGCCTCGTTCACTTATTTTCTAAAAGAAAATGATGTTTGATGTGATTTTGTCTAATTTCATACAGAAGTCCATATTTTACGAGACAATGAATATTTCCTCTGAACACACATTGTAGATAACATTAAATAAATACAGCTATCTTTGAATTTTTACAATATATGAAATGATTCTTTATACTAAAATACAATACGATTCAATACATCTGCTATGTTACCTATTTTAATTCTCACACATAACAAAGTATACACATCTAAAACTATCATTTTAAGCTGTCTAATTTGTTTGGCAAATAAGAATCTTTGAATGCTAACTGCTTGATGCTTCATGACAGTGAAAAACTTCAAAATTTTAGATTAGATTATTAAGTTATATGATGTGAAATAATTATGGCTATACTTCTTATGTAACCATTCATGTGTGAACCTATCAACCAGTTAAATCTATCTATCACTATAAATTATGCAACAGGATAATTTAGCAGTTTTATCAGAAGGGGTTTGTGGAGATTTTAGAAATTTCACAGATTGAAATCATGAGTCCATTGAAGCTAGATCACCATGGAAAACCTGGAACCACTGGACGGCCGTTTCAACCTAGTATGAGATTCCTCATCAGTGCGCATTGACGATCCCGCACCCGGCGAGACTTGAACCCATGACCTATCAGTCTCGCGCCAGGCGCTTAACCAACTAGACCACTGAGCTGGCATCCAACGGTGTTAATGTCTAACTTCAATCAATCCACGAAGTTGCGCTACCGTACACCGTTGTCTGCAGTGAGTTACTATCTCACAACAGACCTGGTCGAACTCCACAGGTATATATCCATTTACTTAAAAAGTCAAGTCAACATAAAAATCTTTAGATTATATTCAAATTTCCCATCGATACTACGTATGAACCGAAGTTTCGTAATTAAAATGATTGAAGTAAGCAAAAAAAGAATGAAGCATTTCAGATAGAATAAAGTGAATATTTTCAATGTTAACAAAGTAATTGGTCATCGGTGAATTTTAAATTTATTTTGCTTTACATAAGACACTACCACTAAATTTTTTTTCGGATTGTCTCTTACAAGTTTAATTGTTCCTTCAATTTTTTGTTCTCTTGATTACTTTCAGTTTCCTTAACTCTTCTCTTCATTTCTATCTTCTTAACCTTCTCCTTGTAAACATTCCACTTACAAGTGGTGTTACATACTACTTATATCTGCAAACATAAGTAGCATATACCACATTTACAACAATATTGTCAAAAAAAGCTTACGTTATCTTATTCCTTCACCTTATTATCTTATTTTAAAAATTGATTTCCGATTTATTAAATAAATTAATATTCGGTTTCATGTACATATGCAGATGATCTTAAAGTAGTATATTCATTTTCTCCACATGACCTGAAAAATATGCAGAATTGCATCAGCATGGAGCTTAACAAGGCAGCACAGTGGTGCTTAAAATGGCAACTGGAACTTAATACGGTTAAATGTGGATCGATATGCTTCGGCAATACATCACTCAACCTAGACATTACCATAAATGGAGAAGTGTTACCTAGGTTACATACAGTAGTAGACTTAGGACTTAGATATTCCCAAGACCTGTCGTTTACAGAACATATATTAAAACAGACCTCTAAGTCTCAACGTCTAATAGGTTACATAACTCGAAATCTTTTCAACACTGAGTCACGTACTCTAATGTACAAAGTTTGTGCTCGACCTCTTCTGGAATACTGCACGTTTATTCTTAGCAGTGCGCTCATAAAGGATAAATTAAGGCTGGAATCAGTACAGAGATGATTTACACTTCGTATTCTTGCAGCTGATTGTACGTTAACTTTAAAATTCTAGATGTAATAAACTTGGGCTAGACCCTTTATGGAAGAGGAGACTCAAACCAAATCTTATCTTTTTCTTCAAATTACTTAATAAACTATCGTTTACATCCGATCACGCGATTCAATATGCAGAAACCTCTCATTATGACATCCGTAATTCCTTGGCACTAGTGAAACAAACTCACTCTAAATCATCTCTTTATATGAATTACTTCACCTGTAAATTTTCTAGACTCTGGGATAGCCTACCACAATCTATCCGCACGATAAAATCACTCCCATTATTTGTTCGCTGCATCGATGCATACTGCTCCTCTGAAAATGCATTGAACGGTCTAGCGCCTTTAAGTGTATCTCATTCCACAAGAGATATTTTAGGAACCTTAAATGTTTAGCCATCTTTATTAGTGAATTCCCTTAGTAAAACCACCCACTTGCTGTCAATATGTCAACACCGCCCCTAGCAACTTTAACTAATTTGAATAACTGTGTCACATGACACACATGACACACGCATTTAGGTAGACCGGATTGATATATTTTGGTAATTACTTTTTTGTTGTTCCGTGCTCTCTGTTTTCGTTTTAATTTCTCTAGTTGTAGATAATTATCATTATTTTGATCTGGCACACGAATTGATCTTAATTACTCCGTTAATAAATCAACAGGCTGTCCATTTAGGAAATATTAAAAATTCCCCGCTGATGCATAGGATCGCTGTAATATATACTACTTAAACAACTACTGTACTAGTATACTTAAAACTTTCTTTATCACATGTTTGTTCTGCACATCTAATGTTATTATTTATATCAAATTGATCATGCCTGTAAACTGGCGCGAATTCTTTAATTATTATTATTTTTTCAGAATAAATTATTATTATTATATACGATTTATTATAAATGAAATGTCTTAAAGTAAAATGAAGTAATTTTGATCTGTCGACTGTGTTGTTTCTTCGTTTACATAAATGAATTGTACTTTAATTGTACTTGTCACAATATAATTTAATTCAATGAGATTAGGTGATAAAACCTTTATTGTTCCGATATAATTTGATATAATAGGATGGATAGTGTATAAGTATAACTTTTTATATATTCATACAATAAATTAGTATCGATATTTTTATTGTTTAATCAATAGGTTATATTGTTGTTTACGTTCACCGTCGACTATATGATCCCATTATTCTGGTTTTGTATCATTTATGAATAAGTTATGTACACTTAGTAATCCCTTGATAGTATCGCTTTAAGGTCAAACATTTCAAGTATTTAATTTCATGAGTTTTGATTCATGATTTATTATGTAAAAGGGAGAATTATTCTGGGTTTTTTTCTTTGTCTTCGAAATGACCATTGAGTTAGAAAGAAGGTGAGGATAATTAGGTTATCGGTTTTACTAGCAAAATAGATTGAATAATCGATAATCCGATCAGAGAGTTGTTATTCATCTCCTCTGCTGCT